TTCGTGGTCAGCTTTGCAGAGCAGAACATCAAGGAAAGGAAGAGTGTTGTCGACTTCTTCAAGTGTGAACTGGATTGAAGGCTCGACCTGGTTGAGCTTGTCTTGGAGAGCTTGAACGTTGAAGCGTTTAGGAGTTATGAGGAGAATGTCATCAACATAACGGAGCCAGGTGACAGACGAAGGAATAATGGTGGAGAAACGTTCGGCTTCTAGATGTTCCATGTATAAGTTCTCCAGGACTGCACTGAGTGGCGAACCCATGGGTAGTCCAAAAGTCTGCTGAAAGAGGTTATTTTCGAAAGAGAAACACGTAAAGCCAACACATAGTTCAACAAGGTCGATGAAATCGCTGGCTGGAATGGGAAGATCAAGTGAATCGTCAATTTTCCTGCGCAAGAGATCGATGGCTTGTGTAGTAGGTACTTTGGTGAATAGGGAAGTCACGTCAAGGCTGGAAAGTTTCTTGTTCCTGATGTTGATGTTGCGAATGCGATTGAGAAGATCACCTGAGTGTTTGAGATGTGCTGGACTGATAGTGCCCATCTCTCAGCTGACCACACACTAACACACTAGCCACATCTCTCAGCTGACCACACACTAACCACATCTCTCAGCTGACCACACACTAACACACTAGCCACATCTCTCAGCTGACCACACACTAACACACTAGCCACATCTCTCAGCTGACCACACACTAACACACTAGCCACATCTCTCAGCTGACCACACTAACACACTAGCCACATCTCTCAGCTGACCACACACTAACACAACTAGCCACATCTCTCAGCTGACCACACACTAACACACTAGCCACATCTCTCAGCTGACCACACACTAACACACTAGCCACATCTCTCAGCTGACCACACACTAACACACTAGCCACATCTCTCAGCTGACCACACACTAACACACTAGCCACATCTCTCAGCTGACCACACACTAACATAACATATCCACCAAAGGTGTCACAGGGAACCCACAACTTTACACCCAACGTGAACCCCGACGCAGTGCTCTTTCTTAAACCCACTTACCAACAGTCCAGCACGGCCCCAAACGTTGTTGAACGGTTCGTTACCAAACTGTGCGTTACTTGTGACTTAAGCATGTCTATACTACTCTGAAAACCTACCCAGAACCCACATTCTAGATTACCCTGCTAGGAAGGTTCCATAGGTGCCTGATCGGCCAGGTTATGGCACTGTAGGGCTATGGGCTGCTAGAAGCAAGAGGCTGGTTAACTAGGCTGTCAACAAGGGGAGTCCTAGATACAGGTCAGCCTGCTGGTGATAGCCTTACAGGTCAGAGGTATATACTGGATTTTCCTGCTGCTGCTGTTGCTGCTGCTACTGTTTTATCAACACTCTTACCGTCCTCTCGGCAACACAAGACGGAACTCAACATAGCAGACAGATCTTTGAGGAAGTATACCTGGGATCACTACCGTCCCAGAAGATCCCAGAAAGAACACTAGTAAGAAATAAAACACGAAATGCGTTCAAGAAATTGAAGATTTTGAGCACGGAACGTACAAACCTTGTCCAGCCTCGTTCCCGGAGCCACATCATCTGAAAATTAAAATATGCCTACTCTGCATATACATCTATATAAAGAAATCACACGCATACCATTCAGTTTTGAGTGTGACACCAGTGATGGCTTGAGGTGTGTGTGTGTATGTGTGTGTGTGTGGGGTTAGGTGTGTGTGGGGGTGAGTGTGTGGATGGGTGTGTGTGATGGAGAGGTCTTGCAGTGCGTGGTACAAGTACCACTGAGATACCACCAGCTGTGTTCACATAGTTTAAATCATGTGAACCCAGGATGGTACTCGCGGTACCCGCCCGTCTTCAGTAGCGACAGTAACACGTGTCCCTTCCCTGGCTGTCAACCTCCTCCTCTTGGTCGTTTCTTGGCTGCTTCCTTGCCTCTGCTGGTCGCTTCCTAATTACCTCTACGAAAAACTCACTTCGTAAAACAATAACTACCTTCCCGTCAGGGAGTCGAAACTGCAATCCTCTACCAAGTATATTTACCATAAATAACCTCCGTTCTCTGAGCTACTAACGTACGAACGTTGCTCGAGTTCCTTACAACATTACTAACTTGAGATTACAGCTATCTCTGTAATCTTAAGGGCCTTTATATTATGAAAATGATGTCATCTTCTATGATATCGTTATATCCATTGAATACTGATGGCTGCTATCTTGGATATCTGGGTCATATCTTGCAGGGCTGTAGCACTGAACATTGACAGATGATGCAAGACAGCTACGCAACGACCTAGTGTACAGGTCCTTGTGAGAAGATTTACAAGCAATAATCAGTGACCTGTCTAGAACAATGTCCATCAGGTTTATCATGATAACCTCATGGTAACCTGAGAATGATCATTACCGCTTACAGTACGTACATAATATCGAATAAGGAACGTGAAGATGTAACGATGTACACTGATACTTGTTACAGTTGTTCGTTACTTGGCGTTACGTAACTTACTAGTAACCTAAGCGAGTGTACAGCCTAGTGACCTCAATCTAGGAAGCAGCCTAGTATGTTAGAGGTTTTCTGTACGTAAGATGGCTTCTGTCTAGACGTGGTCAGAGAAGACTGCCTGAAGCCAGACTATGTTCACTCTGTGCCCCTCTCTCGACACCTGTACCTATCCTACACACCTGCATGTGGACCAGGTGTCCACACACACACCTCCTACACACCTGCATGTACACACACACCCAGCATATTAGTACAATACTGAACACTAAAAAACAATTGATATCTTGCACCTACCATTTTAAAAGGCCTTCAGTGTACTTACCATAAAAGGCCTTCAGTGTACTTACCATAAAAGGCCTTCAGTGTACTTACCATAAAAGGCCTTCAGTGTACTTACCATAAAAGGCCTTCAGTGTACTTACCATAAAAGGCCTTCAGTATACTTACCATAAAAGGCCTTCAGTGTACTTACCATAAAAGGCCTTCAGTGTACTTACTATTACATATACACAAAATCACACTAAGTACTGTCTAAATAATTATTTTCAAAGATAATTCAGAAGGTAATCACAAAAAGTAAGTAAACACGAGGCAGGTGTGAACTTGAGAGCCTATGGTACGGTTGTCGACACCTGTAACACACCTGCCACACATCTGTAACATAATTCAATGATGGGTCCTTTTGTAGGTTATTCAAGGCGCCGTCTCTCCTTGTGGTATCTCACTCTAACCTGCCTTCTTTCATTCCTGTTCCGTCCGTCTCTACCTGCTGCTCCCTCACCCTACACCACGGTCCTTCACTACACACCCTGGCTACACTGCTTCTACAGGTACTCACAGCCTGCTCCCTCACCCTACATCACGTTCCTTCACTACACACCCTGGCTACACTGCTTCTACAGGTACTCACAGCCTGCTCCCTCACCCTACATGACGTTCCTTCACTACACACCCTGGCTAACCTACTTCTACAGGTATTCACAGCCTGTTCCCTCACCCCACACCACGTTCCTTCACTACACATCCTGGCTACACTGCTTCTACAGGTACTCACAGCCTGCTCCCTCACCCTACATCACGTTCCTTCACTACACACCCTGGCTACACTGCTTCTACAGGTACTCACAGCCTGCTCCCTCACCCTACATCACAGTCCTTCACTACACATCCTGGCTACACTGCTTCTACAGGTACTCACAGCCTGCTCCCTCACCCTACATCACGTTCCTTCACTACACATCCTGGCTACACTGCTTCTACAGGTACTCACAGCCTGCTCCCTCACCCTACACCACAGTCCTTCACTACACACCCTGGCTACACTGCTTCTACAGGTACTCACAGCCTGCTCCCTCACCCTACATCAGAGTCCTTCACTACACATCCTGGCTACACTGCTTCTACAGGTACTCACAGCCTGCTCCCTCACCTACACCACGTTCCCTTCACTACACATCCTGGCTACACTGCTTCTACAGGTACTCACAGCCTGCTCCCTCACCTACATCACAGTCCTTCACTACACATCCTGGCTACACTGCTTCTACAGGTACTCACAGCCTGCTCCCTCACCCTACACCCACAGTCCTTCACTACACACCCTGGCTACACTGCTTCTACAGGTACTCACAGCCTGCTCCCTCACCCTACATCACGTTCCTTCACTACACATCCTGGCTACACTGTTTCTACAGGTACTCACAGCCTGCTCCCTCACCCTACATCACAGTCCTTCACTACACACCCTGGCTACACTGCTTCTACAGGTACTCACAGCCTGCTCCCTCACCCTACATCACAGTCCTTCACTACACACCCTGGCTACACTGCTTCTACAGGTACTCACAGCCTGCTCCCTCACCCTACATCACAGTCCTTCACTACACACCCTGGCTACACTGCTTCTACAGGTACTCACAGCCTGCTCCCTCACCCTACATCACAGTCCTTCACTACACATCCTGGCTACACTGCTTCTACAGGTACTCACAGCCTGCTCCCTCACCCTACATCACAGTCCTTCACTACACATCCTGGCTACACTGCTTCTACAGGTACTCACAGCCTGCTCCCTCACCCTACATCACGTTCCTTCACTACACATCCTGGCTACACTGCTTCTACAGGTACTCACAGCCTGCTCCCTCACACCTACATCACGTTCCTTCACTACACATCCTGGCTACACTGCTTCTACAGGTACTCACAGCCTGCTCCCTCACCCTACATCACGTTCCTTCACTACACACCCTGGCTAACCTACTTCTACAGGTATTCACAGCCTGTTCCCTCACCCCACACTACGTTCCTTCACTCCACACCCTGGCTAACCTACTTCCACAGGTATTCACAGCCTGCTCCCTCACCCCACACTACGTTCCTTCACTCCACACCCTGGCTAACCTACTTCCACAGGTACTCACAGCCTGCTCCCTCACTCTACACCACGGTCCTTCACCCCACACCCTGGCTAACCTACTTCCACAGGTACTCACAGCCTGCCTGACGTTTCCAGCAGTCCATCATCTCCCTCAATGCGGTAGATCTTGCCGTACATGACGTAGTCAAAGGGATCAGCTCTGCTGGGGCCAGTCTCAAGTGGATTGTACTCTGGTCCGTCAGTTGGATAACCATCTTCCCGGAGTGTAGTTGCCAACACCAGCCGGAACTTGTCACCTGTACCGAGGCAGAAGGAAAAGAACACGGTGCTTTCAAGTTTATATATTACTGGTTGTGTGTGTGTGTGGAACGTCACACACACACACACACACACACACACACACACACACACACACACACACACACACACACAGGTTTGCAACAAGGATAGTTCCAGAGCTACGGGGAATATCTTACGACGAAAGGTTAAGGGAAATCGGCCTGACGACACTGGAGGACAGGAGGGTCCAGGGGAGACATGATAACGACATACAAAATACTGCGAGAAATTGACAAGGTGGACAGAGACAGGATGTTCCAGAGATGGGACACAGAAACAAGGGGTCACAGTTGGAAGCTGAAGACTCAGATGAGTCAAAAGGGATGTTAGGAAGTATTTCTTTAGTCACAGAGTAGTCAGGAAGTGGAATAGTCCGCAAACGATGTAGTGGAAGCAGGAACCATACATAGCTTTAAGACGAGGTATGATAAAGCTCATGGAGCAGGGAGAGAGAGGACCTAGTAACGACCAGTGAAGAGGCGGAGCCAGGAACTATGTCTCGACCCCTGCAACCATATAGGCGAGTACCCACAATATATTTCAGCGGGCCTACCTTGCTGATATATATATATATAATATATATATATATAAATATATATATATATATATATATATATATATATAATCAGGAGCCACTCCGCTTTTGAACTTTCAGTATAGTAACACATATGAGAATGTACTGAACAGGTGATGAACGAGTGAACGTCTGGCGAACACGAGGGCGTAAATGTATCACAGAGGTGAACTTCTGAACGTGGCTGGTGTGTGTGTGTGTGGTGTGTGTGTGTGTGTGTGTGTGTGTGTGTGTGTGTGTGTGTGTGTGTGTGTGTGTGTGTGTGTGTGTGTGTGTGATATTCCAGCCAGACTTGACACAGCACTGCTGGCAAGTTTGTGAACAAACTGATGAACGAGAGGCAGTGTGAACCCCTGCAGCAGCAGCACCACACCACCACAGCACCACCACCAGCAGTAGCAGCACCACCACCACATCACTAGCATCACTACAGCAGCACCACCCCCTCAGTAGCACAGCATCACTAGCAGCACCACCACCACCAGTAGCAGCACCACCACCAGCATCACTAGCATCACTACAGCACCACCACCAGCATCACTAGCATCACTAGCAGCACCACCACCACCAGTAGCAGCACACCACCAGCATCACTAGCATCACTAGCAGCACCACCACCACCATAGCAGCAGCACCACCACCAGCAGCACCACCACCACCAGTAGCAGCAGCACACCACCAGCAGCAGCACCACCACCACCACCACACCATCAGCAGCACCACCAGCAGCAGCACCTCACCAGCAGCACCACCACCACCATAGCAGCAGCACCACCAAAGCACACCACCACCACCAACAGCACCACCAGCAGCCCCAAAAACCACCACCAGTAGCAGTAGCACCACCAGCAGCACCAACACCACCAGTAGCAGCACGACCACCACCACCAGCACCACCACCACCAGTAGCAGCAGCACCACCAGCACACCACCACCACCACCACCACCACCAGCACCACCACCACCAGTAGCAGCAGCACCACCACAGCACCACCACCACCAGTAGCAGCACACCACCAGCAGCACCACCACGACAGCACCACCACGAGCAGCAGCACCACCACCAGCAGCAGCACCACCAGCAGTGATGTACAAAGCTTGTCTGAGAGAGTGGAACTGCTTGTAACATAGCGCTCCTGCGAGTTATATATCAGGGTTATCAGTAGAGGGCGTGGGTCCTTATCTGTTACAGGGGGGTCAGTCCCCAGGGACTGACTACCCATTATCCCTGCCCGGTAGGGTGGAAGGTGTACGCCCCGTCAACGCCCCCTTATACACAAAGGAATACCAAGCTTACCCAACCAAACACACACAGAGAGAAGCCAGGAGCTGTGAATCGACCCCTGCGTCCACAATTAGGTGAGTACACACATCTTAGACAGTCCTAATCCTATGTGTCTAAAATAATTACTGTATGTCTAATTATAATGTCAATCTAATGACTGTCTAAATCTAATTATTGTATGTCTAAATCTAATTACTATCTAAATCTAATTATTGTATGTCTAAATCTAATTACTGTCTAAATCTAATTATTTTATGCTAAATCTAATTACTGTCTAAATCTAATTATTGTATGTCTAAATCTAATTACTGTCTAAATCTAATTATTGTATGTCTAAATCTAATTACTGTCTAAATCTAATTATTGTATGTCTAAATCTAATTGTCAAGACAAATGAGGATCCTTATAATGACGTAGTTGTCATACCAAGGTACGTGTCCGTGATCACGTCAAGTACAACCTCTGAAGGGCAAAACATCGTGTGTCCGTGATCACGTCAAGTACAACCTCTGAAGGGCAAAACATCGCGTGTCCGTGATCACGTCAAGTACAACCTCTGAAGGACAAAACATCGTGTGTCCGTGATCACGTCAAGTACAACCTCTGAAGGACAAAACATCGTGTGTCCGTGATCACGTCAAGTACAACCTCTGAAGGACAAAACATAGTGTGTCCGTGATCACGTCAAGTACAACCTCTGAAGGACAAAACATCGTGTGTCCGTGATCACGTCAAGTACAACCTCTGAAGGACAAAACATCGTGTGTCCGTGATCACATCAAGTACAACCTCTGAAGGACAAAACATCGTGTGTCCGTGATCACATCAAGTACAACCTCTGAAGGGCAAAACATCGTGTGTCCGTGATCACGTCAAGTACAACCTCTGAAGGGCAAAACATCGTGTGTCCGTGATCACGTCAAGTACAACCTCTGAAGGGAAAAAAAAACATCGTGTGTCCGTGATCACGTCAAGTACAACTCTAAAAGGAAAAACATCGTGTGTCCGTGATCACGTCAAGTACAACCTCTAAAGGGAAACCAAAACATCGTGTGTCCGTGATCACGTCAAGAAACAACCTCTGAAGGGCAAAACATCGTGTGTCCGTGATCACGTCAAGTACAACCTCTGAAGGCAAAACATCTGTGTCCGTGATCACGTCAAGTACACCTCTGAAGGGACAAAACATCGTGGGGTCCGTGAATCACTCAAGTACAACCTTGAAGGGCAAAACATCGTGTGTCCGTGATCACGTCAAAATACAACCTCTGAAGGGCAAAACATCGGTGTCGTGATCACTCAAGTACAACCTCTAAAGGGGACAAAACATCGTGTGTCCGTGATCACGTCAAGTACAACCTCTAAAGGGGCAAAACATCGTGTGGTCCGTGATCACGTCAAGTACAACCTCTGAAGGAAAAAACATAGTGTGTCCGGATCACTCAAGTACAACCTCTGAAGGGCAAAACATCGTGTGTCCGTGATCACGTCAAGTACAACCTCTGAAGGGCAAAACATCGTGTGTCCGTGATCACGTCAAGTACAACCTCTGAAGGGCAAAACATCGTGTGTCCGTGATCACGTCAAGTACAACCTCTGAAGGCAAAACATCGTGTGTCCCGTGATCACGTCAAGTACAACCTCTGAAGGGCAAAACATCGCGTGTCCGTGATCACGTTCAAGTACAACCTCTGAAGGACAAAAATACGTGTGTCCGTGATCACGTCAGTACAACTCTGAAGGGCAAAACATCGCGTGTCCGTGATCACTTCAAGTACAACCTCTGAAGGACAAAACATCGTGTGTCCGTGATCACGTCAAGTACATCCTCTGAAGGACAAAACATCGTGTGTCCGTGATCACGTCAAGTACATCCTCTGAAGGACAAAACATAGTGTGTCCTTGATCACGTCAAGTACAACCTCTGAAAGACAAAACATCGTGTGTCCGTGATCACGTCAAGTACAACCTCTGAAGGGCAAAACATCGTGTGTCCGTGATACGTCAAGTACAACCTCTGAAGGGCAAAACATCGTGTGTCCGTGATCACGTCAAGTACAACCTGTGAAGGACAAAACATCGTGTGTCCGTGATCACGTCAAGTACAACCTCTGAAGGGCAAAACATCGTGTGTCCGTGATCACGTCAAGTACAACCTCTGAAGGGCAAAACATCGTGTGTCCGTGATCACGTCAAGTACAACCTCTGAAGGGCAAAACATCGTGTGTCCGTGATCACGTCAAGTACAACCTCTGGAAGGGCAAAACATCGTGTGTCCGTGATCACGTCAAGTACAACCTCTGAAGGGCAAAATATCGTGTGACCGTGATCACGTCAAGTACAACCTCTGAAGGACAAAACATCGTGTGTCCGTGATCACGTCAAGTACAACTTCTGAAGGACAAAACATCGTGTGTCCGTGATCACGTCAAGTACAACTCTGAAGGGACAAAACATGTGTGTCGTGATAAAGTTCACATCCTCGAAGAAAAACATTGAAAAAAGGACACAAGAAAACAGTGAAAAAAAAAAAAAAAAAAAAAAAAAAAAAAAAAAAAAAAAAAAAAAAAAAAAAAAAAAAAAAAAAAAAAAAAAAAAAAAAAAAAAAAAAAAAAAAAAAAAAAGAAAAAAAAACCCAAAAAAGAAAAAAAGAAAAAAAAAGGCAGGCAACTGGGGGGGGCGGCGGGGGGGGGCCCGACGGCGACAGGGCGACAGGGGCACACACACACACACAGGTGGGGGGCACCGCACCAGCGGAGCCGGACACACACACAAACAAACACAAACCACACCGACACAAACCCACACCACGAACACACACCACAGCGCGAACACACACAGCGAAGAGCGGGGCCAGGAGCTCGGACTCGACCCCCGCAACCTCAACTAGGTGAGTACAATCGAAGTGAGTTAACTAGGCGAGGGGGATACACACACACCCACGGGGGGGTGGCACACAGCCCACCCACAAGCACACACACACACACACAAATATCTTACATTACCTTCCCCCACGACAGAATAATGATGCAAACACGCACGGAATTCAACCATGACATGCTAAGTAAAGTCATAGGGATACTGAAACGTTACCCACT